CAATATGTATGTGTATATATATATATATATATATATATATATATATATATATAGTCCAATTAAATTCTCTGCTATCTAGAAAGTTGATGTCATTTATTTAATTCACCTATCAGTCCAGTGTGATTTTGACATAAGCTAAAGGCTATTGGATATTTGAAAAAAGGCGACCAGGCCTGTGACGTCCTGCTCCAACTTCATGTTTCTTTAACATGGGGTCTTTAATATCCGTCTGTGAGTTGGAGGTATACATGATGAAATGGCTCTAAAATATCAGCTTTCCACTTACAAGCAACAATCAATAAACTCTTTTGGTTTAAATCTGTCTGTGGAGCTTTCTGGAACACAGGATGTCAAGAGGGAGATCGGTTTCCTTTGCCGGCCAATCAGTATGTCCACAGAGGTTTTAGGCAAATAGCCAAATTTGAATGCAGGGGTTTCCAGCATTTACTGCCAATCAGCAGCTGAGCTGGGATGCTGTATGGAAATGCATCTCTGATGCTGATGTCTTTGTCTCTAGTGGAGTGTGTGTCTGGTTGCATTTCATTGCATCTCTGGAAACTTTTGAAATGCTGTGAACAGGTTTCTCTTGCATTATAAGCAAAGCTCAGTCACAAACTCTCTCAAAACGAATCCTAATTAAGAACTGATCACAATACTTTATAGTTCTGGAATAAAAGGATAAGAATTAGGATGCAACCTTGTTTCTAAACTTGTCTGCCTTTTTTTTAAGTATCGTTTACAAAGGACAAATCAAATTCTATAACTTCAGTGTCCATTCAAGCGCGTTTTTTTTCTCAAACTGTAACTTCAAGAAGAAATTAGTGAACTGAAGGCTCATAATGCGAGGGACATCTGTGTTTGAATTCAAGATTATTGTGTGTGGATTAAAGGAATAATTCACCCAATAATGCAAATCATTTACTCCCCATCATGGCGACACCCATGTGACATTCTTTCTTCAGTGAAGCACTAAAGGAGATGTTTAGCAGAATGTTTAAACGGCTTTTTTGCATACTATGAAAGCAGACAGTGATCAGGACAAAAAAACTATATAGAAATAGGTCCATGTATCTGTGCACTATATTTAAGTTGTTATCTGTTGGCAGGTTTATATTCTTAGCTTGTGAGAACCAATGGCATCTGACGACTTTGTTGGTGTTCCACAGAATGAAAGTCATACAGGTTTAGAACAACTTGAGGGAGTGTAAATGATGATGAAGTTTCATTTTTGGGTGAATAATCCCTTTAAATTGGTGAATCTTGCACTACTGACCCAATCAGTACTCGCTGTGAAGCATCATGGATATACATGTTCATTTTACACCCTAAAGTGTTTCATTCATTCATTTATTTTATTTATAAAGCACTTTACAACTGCACCTGCAGACCAAAGTGCTGTACAATCAACATACAGCTACATACAATACATAAAACAACAAACAGTCCAAGTAAAAACACACAAACTAGCCCAACCCCTTGAAGGCTAATGACAAGTAATTTTTAACCGCAGCTTTAAAGGTGTTTATGGATGTAATCTCTCTAATCTCGGATGGCAGACTGCAACAGCAAAGGCCTGATCCCCTTTCAGCTTTAACTGAGTTCGTGGGATAGTAAAAAACAACTTATTAGTTGATCTTAAAGACCTAGATGACTGACGGAAAGTAATAAGTTCAGACACATAAGCAGGAGCCATTCCATGCGCTGCCTTAAACACATGCAACAGAACCTTATATTCTTCACTATATAATCTTCACCTCTTCCAGACATGTCAAAATTAAATGTAAACCACAATTCTCTCCAGGTTTCAAAGGGAGATACATTTGTGTATCATCAGCATACAAATGGTAAGACATGCCATATTTATTAAAAATCGAGCCCAGAGGCAGCATGTACAAGGAAAACAATACAGGGCCAATAACAGAACCCTGAGGAACCCCAGAACCCTTTTTATGCAACAAAGGGTTAAGAATATCTATTCTACAGCCTGTATCAAGATTTACATTTTTGTTTAGTGATTGTGTTTCACAGAGCTGAATTGTTCGATGTTGAAATGGCAAAATCCAAGAAACATCTGACGTTTGATTGTCTGCTGTCTAAATTGTTGATGTCGCATCATCCGAAAAGCCTATTTCATTTTGCATTTTCTCATATTTTAGGGCTGAAATGGATCTGCTGAGATATTGTCCTGCAGTTATATAAATGCTGGGCATGTTGGCAGGTGCTTTATGGCTGAATATGTGTCCAGACATGATCTCTGATGAGTCACTGGTTTTAATTCTTTGGTTTTCTTGCTTCTCCACTTGTTTGATTGCTCTCACAGGTATTTCCCGCCCCCGGTCAGACAGTGCTCCGCCCACACCTGTCAATCGGCTCAGTATGCCCCTGCCCCCAACGACGACCAACACTACACCCCCTCATAACCGCAGGCACCGCCCCACCGCTGTTGTCAAGACAACCAGCAAAGCCTCAACGGTATGACCATGAAAAACAGAAGCCCTACCCTCCATATTTCTTTCTTATTTATTATCCTGATTCACTCAGAAATTCGTGTCGACTTCTGAAAAACCAACAAATCCTCTCTAATTTACTCTCCACTCCATAGACTGGTCAGACCAAAGTGTCGCACCAGCCGTCATCCACTTCCCCGCTCTCCAGCCCAAACCAGACGAGCTCAGAGCCGCGGCCGCTACCGGCTCCGACCCGGCCGAAGGTCAACAGTGTGCTGAATCTGTTTGGCCAGTGGTTGTTTGACGCTGCGCTGGTCCACTGTAAACTCCACTCCGACCTGAGCAGAGACAGCAGCATGACCGGTAAGACTGCGATACGTGTTATAACCAATACTGCGGTCACCCAGTTTTCATTTGTTTTTCCTTTCTCTACTTATTTTACCTGTTGAGGGTGTTTTTATTTCCTTTTCTTTTATTAAATATTCCTACCTGCAAGATTGTACCACATTCAGGGTTCGTCTCCAATGGTGTGACACTAGCGTAGATGCTGTGAAACAATTATTCTGAGATCTTGCAAAAATAGTGAGGTTTAATATTATGGATTTTAATATTTGTACACCTGATTGGCCACACATAGAGAACTTAAATTGCATTTATAATTCAGTTTAATAACAGCAAATTGTATTCCTGTAGCTCAAACAGTAGAGCATGACGCAAACAATGCCAAGGTCATGGGTTCAATTCCCAATTAAAATGTATACCAGTTGCTTTGGATTTAAATGCATGAATGTAAATGAGATGTATGCAGAATTGCTTAAATTCAGTGAACACAGTATTTTATACAATATTTAGTCAAAATTCACAATTTTAAAAACTGAAAAACATGCTTTATCCATTGATACATTTATGAATGGATTTTGAAACTGGTGCAAACACTTGTATTAAAGCAATAGTTCACCCAAAAAATGAAAATTTGCTAAAAAAATGTTCTCACCCTCAGGCCATCCGAGATGTAGATGAGTTTGTACATCTGGGATGGCCTGAGGGTGAGTAAATTCTGAGCAAATTTTCATTTTTGCCTGAATTATTCCTTTAATTAGGTAGTTATCGGTATGTAAGGTATTATCGGTGAGGTAAATATCAGTCAATGAATTGAAATTGGTGTTTTGTACACGTATGTGAAGTAAAAGTAGATTTATGATGTGTTAACATTCAGCTTTCTAATATGTTTGTGTTGGGTTAGTTTCCACTCATGGCAGCTGGACAGTTTTTATGTTTTATCACACTGTTGAGAATGTGTGTCATTAATCTAGTCTTATTTTTCATGTAGTGAATTGATTGAAACCATCATGTGGAGTTGTTAATAGCATTGCGTACATCTTATCTTGCATTGTTTTCATTTTTGCATGATGGGTAACTGAAACTCTTTTTAATGGTCTCCCTGTGTCTTTAAAAGCACAAAAGCAGAACAAAACGTCTGAATAGTTTACTGAACTCTACTACTGCTGTTCTTTGATTTGTTTCCATTTTATCTCTGTTATCTTGCAGCAACATTTTTCCAAATTCTTCTTTCTTATAAATCTTGTAAGTAGGAACACAAGCTTTACCAGTTGCAGTTATTTGGTTCATTTCAGTTTGTTTACTTCCGTCTTTTTCGTTTCTTTCGTTGACACTGTCACTCGTCCATTGTTGCAGTACTTGTTTTCTTGGGGCAAGAGACTTGCGCATAAACTGCTTGAGTTAAAGGTCCGGGGAGTGTTTTGACTGCTGCCCAAATCTCATTGGCTCAGCTGCAACAAATATTCAGGATCCTGAAGTGGGCCGAGAATGTTTGTTGCGCTTGATCCTTCTCCTTGATTCAACTTACCCGCCATCATTAAAACCAGTTCCCATCTCCTGAAGGACCTCTACTAACTGATCTTCTCCAAAGAAACACACCAACCAGTCTTATTTTGAGTTTTTGCCCAGCCTTTATTTGACAACTTTTGTTTTATGTTAGCGTTTTCATTGGTTCTTTTTATGTTTTTGTATGGATATTCCTGCATGTCGTGGTTGTTGGTGCAATTTGTCTCAGCCATATCGTGCCTTATTGTCTTAATTTAGGATGCTGGACTATAGAAATTGGCCTTTAATCAACGTTTGTCTGACATGAAATCCAACTGAGATGCTCTGATAACAGGGAGACTGACCAGGAGATGTCGAATAGTGCGTTCTGTTCTGTCTCGAGCCGCTCGCACACAAACACGATTGAACATTATGGCTCTCCAATGCCATTTCGCGTGATCCGAACAAGAAGGCCGCTTCCTCCAAATAGATAGAAACGTGCTGCTGAAGCCAAAGTCCCATTAGATTAGCACTCGCTTCCTACTGCAAATGAAATTATGCGAAAGTCCTGTCAAACAAATGTAATAAATGTGGAAAGATAAATCTTCTAATGCTTGAATATTTATAGGTACAAATGGTGAATAGTATGTAATTACGGTTAAACATAGTGACTTTTTCACTGAGTATTTAAATCAGAAGTTTGGAATAATTACGTTTTTTAAATATTTTTAGGCAGCAAATCAGCATCTTAGAATGATTTCTGAAGATCACGTGACACTGAAGACTGGAGTAATGATGCTGAAAATTCAGCTTTGATCAGAGGAATAAATTACAGTTTAACAGATATTCACATAGAAAACAGCTGTTTGAAATTATAAAAATATTTCACATTTTTCACTGTATTTTTGATTAAAAAAAATTTATGCAGTATTGATGAGCATAGGAGACTTCTTTCAAAAACATTCAAAAATCCAAATTGTTCCAAACTTTTGCCATTTAATTGTCAGAATGTCCAACATTTTTATTTCTCTGAATGTCATATGCATTTTAAAGTTGAGTTGTCTCGATGCATCTACATATTTAGCCTGTGTAATAAAACGTCATGCATTTTATTCAGTAATTATTGCTATTGACCTAAAGATCAAGCTAAAACTGTTCAACAGCATGCTTTTGATGGCGTTACAGGTTTTGACCTATGTGAAGGGTAGTTTGATGTAATAATAATTATAATTATAATAATCATTATTATTACATTATTTTATTAAAGCTAATTAACTGTATTATTTTATATTATATTAGAAAAATATTATTAATAATAATTATTATTATTATTATTACATTGTTTTATAAAAGCTAATTAACTATAATAATATTTTGTTATATATTAAAAATGAAACATTCAGTTTTAAGCCATTCAAGCGGTATGTAGCACATTTTTTTAAAAGCAGTTTTACAGAAAATCGTGATGTTAATGTTTATAACATCTTAATATCTCTATCCCTTGCAGTCGCATTTATTAGATTAGAGCACATGATTGGGCGTTTTTTACTGCTCTGCCTGTCTGAAGATCTCTTTGTCGGTAATCCCTGTCATGGCCTCCTGCGAAAGCTTCACATGTAAAGCGTCACTGAGTGTTTGCGCTTGTGTCTCTCCTTCCCGTCTCTCTCAGCCCTAGTGTTTATAACATCTTAATATCTCTATCCCTTGCAGTTGCATTTATTAGATTAGAGCACATGATTGGGCGTTTTTTACTGCTCTGCCTGTCTGAAGATCTCTTTGTCGGTAATCCCTGTCATGGCCTCCTGCGAAAGCTTCGCATGTAAAGCGTCACTGAGTGTTTGCGCTTGTGTCTCTCCTTCCCGTCTCTCTCTCTCAGCCCTAGCGACTCAAGCTGGAGTTGAACTGAGACGTAAAGGCTCTCAGATGTCCACGGACACCATGGTGTCCAACCCCATGTTCGACGCCAATGAGTTTCCTGATAATTACGAGTCGGGTCGAGCCGAAGCGTGTGGGACGCTGTGTAGGATCTTCTGCAGTAAGAAGACTGGAGAGGAGATACTTGCAGTGTACCTGTCCAGGTAATCACTAGCTGTTCCCAACGAATCACCTCCACAGCCATTACACTACTAGTCACAAGTTTGTAATGGTCTTACTAATTAATGACAGAATTTTCATTTTTGGGTGAACTATCCCTTTAAGATTTTTTATGTTTCTGAAGTCTCTTATGCTCAACTATCCTGCATTTATTTGAAATAAATTAATTCAAAGAAATTAAGAATTATTTTTTTCAGCAAGTACGCATTAAATTAACCAAGAGGGACATTTATAATGTTGCAAAAGATTTCTATTTTTAAAAAATGCTATTCTTTTGAACTCTCTGTTTGTCAAAGAATCCAGAAAAATAAAATGTATCACAGTTTCCACACAAATATGAACTGTTTTCAACATTGATAATAATCAGAAATGTTTCTCTGTTCTGTATCTGATGGTTCTGTTAGGTTCTACATGGTCCTCATCCAGGGTCTTCAGATATCGGACTTCATTTGCAGGCCGGTTTTAGCCAGCATCATCCTCAACTCTTCGGCTCTGTTCTGCTCCGATCTCAAAGGGATCAATGTTGTGGTTCCTTACTTCATATCTGCTCTGGAGACCATCCTACCGGATCGGTGAGCGATGCTTTCTGATTTCTGAGAAATCGGATCCAAAATATGTCTACATTAGGGCTGGGTTTTGACACAAATTTCACGATTCGATTCTCATTCACAAGCTTGCGATTCGATTCAGTATCGATTATTTTGGATACATATCAGGTACAGTACATGCCAAATTTTCTCAAGGAAAAAAAATCTTTCAACTAATGCTGTAAAATATACACCAGAGTCAGTTGGTACTACATTACTATAATACTGAAGGTTAAAATTGACTTGATTTGTAGGCTAATATACAACCGCTAAAATTACACTTAATGAACTTTTTTAAAATAATAAACTTATAATTAGCTACATAATAATAGCCTACTTCTACTTCAGTTCGTTTTTTGAAATATAAACATTTAAATGGTGGCTGTCAAAAACTTGATGGATTTATTCAAACATAAATGACTAAACATTGAAGAACAGCAAAAATTATGAATATGTTATATGGTGCATATATTTAGCAAAATGCCCCTCTTTACAGTTTATTTTTCTATCTGACTGAGTTTATGGTCACCGAATGTGTTTTTCTGAGGTAAATGTGACGTTACGTGACATTGTTTACAAGCCACAGTCTTTGCGCGGCTGAAACACTGATTGAGCGATTACATGAGACAGGATACGGATTGTAAAGTTTTACTCTTTCTTTTAACTTACCTTCGGATGTTTAGTCATGTTTATTTTGTGCTGAAACTGGTATTAAAGTTGAGGAGATGATCAGCTCACGTGCGTCTCGCGCTGCCGCTTTTACTGAACTGAGGCGCGCCGTGCTACAGCGATCTGTCACTCCACATTAAACGCCTGGCCGTGCGTCACTCAGAAAACAACAGGCCAATCAGAAGAGAGGCTCATGAATATTAATTAGACAGGCCAAAATCGACCTGTTCTCAGCAGAGCTCCTGAGAGAGGAGCTGTAAAAATATATTGAGATGGTTTTTGGTACTTATACCGCAAATATATATTCTTAAGGACATCAAAACCTAAAATAAAACTCCAGAAAGGTGTACAATATGGGACCTTTAATATCCAGATATCTATATTTTTTACCCAGCCCTAGTCTACATGCTCTGTTTTTAATGCATGTTTCTTCTGCGCCAACAGAGAGTTGTCTAAGTTTAAGTCGTATGTGAACCCCACTGAGCTGAGAAGAGCTTCCATCCATATCCTGCTGTCCATGCTTCCTCTTCCTCACCACTTTGGCAACGTCAAATCAGAGGTGAAAGGCTTCAGATCTGGGTTTAGCATTTAATCATTCTCTCTGTAACTTAATTTTCTGGGATAAAAATACAAATTAAAATAGGCTGTGGTTTCTAATTGCATTTGCAGGTTCTGTTGGAGGGGAAATTCAGCAATGATGACAACTCCCTTCATGACAAGGCCGTCACCTTCCTCTCCCTGAAGCTGCGATTGGTCAATATTTTGATTGGCGCCCTGCAAACAGAGACAGACTCGATCAATACACAGATGATACTAGGTGCGGCTGCCTGATCAATAAGTCCATTTAGTGATAGTGAAATATTGTAAAACCTATAGTTCAGGCACTAAAATCTGATTGGATGAGCCTCGTTCAAACCCTTGATACCTGATATACACAAACTTGTGACTGAACTCGTATATAAATATTAATTAGCCATTAGTTAAGCTAATTAATTATTTTAATATTTTATAAAATAATAATAAAATATATTAACAATTTTAATATGTTATTATTGTAATATTTTATTATAATATTATTTAGAAATTATTATTATTTTATAAAAGCTATTTAACAATATTAATATTCTATATTCTTATATTAGAAAAATGCAGTTACTATTATTTTATAAAAGCTAATTAATTCTATTCATATTTTGTCATTACGTTAAAAAAAATATAATTATTATTATTATTATTATCAAATCATTTTATAAAAGCAGTTTGCCATAAAACCAATAAGGATGTGTGTATGTTAATATTCTATATTATAACATTAGAAAAATTGTATTATTATTATTGCATTATTTTATAAAAGCTGAGTAATTCATTTAATATTTTGTCATTACATTAGAAAAATGAAATAATAGTAATTATAATTATTGTTATTATTAATATTATTAAATTATTTTATAAAATCAATAAGGAAGTATGTAGGGATTTTACCCGCTTTGCATCATGCCAACCAAATCTCCTTAACTGTAATAAAATCAGTATTTTTTGAGTTATTGCTTTAGTTTGATTTATGCACATTTAATAATGATAAGTGTCAGTAATAACTGCATTTCTGTCTGTTTATAGCGGCAATGCTGAATATCGTCCAGGATTCGGCTAAATTGGAGTCTGTTGGTGCTCAAGCTGAAGTGGTACGAGTTATACTTTCTATTTATTTATGAGCTCTGTAATTTCAAAGAGAGAGCTTGAAATACATTTGAAGTGTCAGCGACATGAAATGTGATGAAGAGCAATCACAATTTACCAGTTAAAAATGGCATTGTGTCTGTGCTCTGTGTAGGGCAGTGTGGATGGAAGCCATTCTCTGGCTAAGAGCCACAGTCGTAATAACAGCGGCATCAGCAACGCTAGCGCAGGCAGCTCCGAGGCTACGACTCCAGACAGCGAGCGTCCCGCGCAGGCCCTGATGAGGGACTACGGTAAGCCCAGAGGGACACTGTGCACAACCGACCGATGCATTAGAGCCGTTTGAACTTTTAACAAAAGCATTGAGAAAAAAAAATGCTTTGCATAAATGTAAAAGCTCAATAAGATTTCACCCATTTAATTATTCCAACAATGCCAAGATTAATCAACTGTGTGACTCACAGATGCTAAGTGATCCTGTTTATTATATTTTGCGCTCACATTTACAATACCACCCAGAGTGTGGTGTAGTTTATTTTATTTGTGCCATCCCACAATATGATTTTTAAATTTTTGTGGTGCACAAGATATTTTGGAGAACATTCACGCTGCACTTTCCTTTCAGTGAAAGCATACGATACCATAATATCATAAAAGCACTTTAAACGTATCATAAAACTAGCCAATATGTAAACAATCCTCATTTTTTTGGTCTAGCCTTCTGGGCCTCTTCGATCAGAACTGACCGAAAAAATTTAAATTTTTAATTTTTAAATTTTTTTGCATCATCGGAATGGGATGACAATTGGTGCCTTTTGTCACGTTAGCTATGTGAACACACAAAAAAATCATGGACGTGGTTCGGAAATGTTAAAGGGTCGAAAATTTAAAAAGTAACACTTGGTACCTTTCGAAATGACTGTGAAAAAAATATCTCATAAAAATTATATAAATATTGCATAGTATCATAAAATCCCCTCATAATTTTAAATAATAATCCAAAAATATTATTGAACAAAAATATGTTACATCGATTTTCCTGAAAAAAGAAAAAAGTTATATTTCATTCGGCTTTGGTCACTTTAATGCTCATCAGTAAATCAGTGGAAAATAAATAGAAATCATGATTCTGTCTGAGCTATGCGTTTTAAAACGAACACTAACTAGTGTAAATGTAGCCTAACAGATGTGTAAACTGAAGACTATTTGAGCTTTATTAAAACTATTTTGCACTGATTTATTGTGTTGGTTACATTTTGTTCCTTTGTGCAGTGGCTCAGGAGATGAGTCTTTGAGTTTGTATAAATATCAACAAGCTGAAAAATAAAACCAATTTTTTTTTAGATAATGTAATCTTGTTAAAGTTGATTGGTATCGGAAAAAAGTATCGTTCAGGAACCGGTGTCAAGGTATCGGTATCGATATCGAAAATTTTTCAGCGATACCCAGCCCTAGTGAAAAATACAGTAAAAATTGTTTAATTTAAATTCAATGTTTTCTATATGAATTATTTTAAAATGTATTTTATTTCTGTGATCAAAGCTGTATTTTCAGCATCATTACTCCGGTCTTCAGTGTCACATGATCTTCAGAAATCATTCTAATATGCTGATTTGCTGCTCAAGAAACATTTCTGATTATTATCAGTGTCGAAAACAGTTACACTAATAAAAGTATGGAGTTTGGGGATTTTTTTTTTTTTCATCAAGGATGCATTAAATTGATTAAAAGTGACAGTAAAGACATTTATAATGTTACAAACGATTTCTATTTCAAATAAATGCCGTTCTTTTGAACTTTCTATTCCTGAAAAATAAAATGCATCAGTTTCCACAAAAATATTCTGCAGCACAACTGTTTTCAACACTGATAATAATCAGAAATGTTTCTTGAGCAGCAAATCAGCATATTAGAATGATTTCTGAAGATCATGTGACACTGAAGACTGGAGTAATGATGCTGAAAATACAGCTGCACATCACAGAAATAAATTACAGTTTAACAGATATTCACATAGAAAACAGTTATTTGAAATTGCAAAACTTTTTCAAAATTTTTACTGTTTTTACTCTATTTTTGATCAAACAAATGCAGCCCTTGCTGAGCACGAGACTTCTTTCAAAAATATATATATAATAAAAAATCATAATTATTCCACTTTTGGACCACTTTCCATAAAATGCATGTGTTTTTCTGTCCAGGTGAAGGTGAGCGTGGAGTCGTCGGATCGTAAGCGTGCCGTTAGCTCCGTGTGCAGTTATATCGTGTATCAGTGCAGTCGTCCCGCTCCTCTTCACTCCAGAGATCTGCACTCCATGATCGTCGCTGCTTTCCACTGCCTGTGCGTCTGGCTCACAGAGCACCCCGACATGCTCAATGAGAAGGTACGGCCCGTCTGACCTCAGCTTCAGCTGTTTTACAGTCTGGAAATGCTGAAACTTATCAGTGAAGCCAAAAAACAATGCTTGCGATTCAAATCAACTTTCCATTTATGTCTACTGCCAAATAGGCTTGCCGCGATAGACGGTGCTGACGGTGATACCATTGTTACTTATCCGTGTTGTCACACGTCGATTAACCGGTGGGAAAATTTCCTCACCGTCACAACCCTACTGCTAAATGGCATTTAGTTCAATGACAAATATAATCGAGCTCAGGCTGCTTAAACATTCGAGATGTATTGATGAAATCAAGAAACATTGTGATGATTTCACACCACTTTTGATTCGGATATTAAGCTTCCTAAATAGAGCAGCAGTAAGATTCACACACTCTGTTTTGAGGCCTCTAATTGAATCCTCTATAAAAGGGTGATAGATTTGGGAAGTTTGATTCAATTTCACTTCATCGCTTCAATGATTTGTTTACATTATATTCTAAAAAATTTGCATTTTACTGGTTTTAAATTTTTACATGTACTGTATGTAGGTACATATTGCTTTTTAGTACAGTATATATATATATACTGTATATACTACTGTTCACAAGTTTAGAGTCGATCAAATTCTTTAATGTTTTTGAAATAAGTCTCTTCTGCTCACCAAGGCTGCATTTATTTGATCATAAATATAGTAAAAATTGTGAAATATTATTACAATTTAAAATGACTGTTTTCTATGTGACTGCTAAATGGCATTTAGTTCAATGACAAATATAATCGAGCTCAGGCTGCTTAAACATTCGAGATGTATTGATGAAATCAAGAAACATTGTGATGATTTCACACCACTTTTGATTCGGATATTAAGCTTCCTAAATAGAGCAGCAGTAAGATTCACACACTCTGTTTTGAGGCCTCTAATTGAATCCTCTATAAAAGGTTGATAGATTTGGGAAGTTTGATTCAATTCCACTTCATCGCTTCAATGATTTGTTTACATTATATTCTAAAAAATGTGCATTTTACTGGTTTTAAATTTTTACATGTACTGTATGTAGGTACATATTGCTTTTTAGTACAGTATATATATATATACTGTATATACTACTGTTCACAAGTTTAGAGTCGATCAAATTCTTTAATGTTTTTGAAATAAGTCTCTTCTGCTCACCAAGGCTGCATTTATTTGATCATAAATATAGTAAAAATTGTGAAATATTATTACAATTTAAAATGACTGTTTTCTATGTGAATATATGTTATAATGTAATTTATTTCTGTGATCAAAGCTGAATTTTCAGTCTTCAGTGTCACATGATCCTTCAGAAATCATTCTAATATGCAGCTCAAGAAACATTTCAGATTATTATCAATGTTGGTGCTTAATATTTTTGTGATATTTGTGATATTTTCAGAAATAGAAAGTTCAAAAGAACAGCATTTATTTGAATTATTTAAATGTTTTGTAACATTATAAATGTCTTTACTGTCACTTCTGATCAATTTAATGCATCCTTGATGAATAAAAGTATTATTTTCTTTAAAAAAAAAAAGAAATCTTACTGACCCGAAACTTTTTAACAGTAGCATACTTTATATTGGTGCATATATATAAAACGAAATAATAATAATTTGTGGAAAACATGCCTTGAATGTTTTAACTAGATTTTTACCGTTTAGAGCAGTACTTGAAACAACACAATATGTTTAAATGAATAATTATGAAGATGTCTGAAGAAAATAGAGATTTTTGTTGTTGTTGTTGTTTTGGCCACTCGTCTGTTGTTTGATCTGTAAGGTTAAATGCGTTTCATTTTATGAGCTCAGTCTTGTTTTATTGTGTCTTTAAGGATTGTCTGATCGAGGTGTTGGAAATCGTCGAGCTCGGCATCTCGGGCAGCAAGTCCAAAACCGGCGAACAGGAAGTGAAGTACAAAGGTGATAAAGAGCACAACCCGGCGTCGATGAGGGTTAAAGACGCTGCCGAGGCCACATTATCATGGTGAGCGTCCTTCATAAACTGCCATTGACCTCTCTCTCCCCTGGTTTTCAAACCCGTCTTTGATTTGTGATGCTGTGTGTTCCAGTATAATGCAGGTGTTGGGTGCGTTCCCGTCTCCCAGCGGCCCCGCATCGCCCTGCAGTTTGCTGAATGAAGACACGCTGATCAAATACTCCCGACTCACCTCCACATCCCACAGCAACTTCAGATACTTCGTTCTGGATAACTCCGTCATTCTCGCCATGCTGGAGCAGCCGCTGGGAAACGAGCAGAGTGAGAACGACACACTTCACATGTCAATCCTCCGGTATATTTTCAACTCTGGTTGCTTATCATTGCGTTTGTGTCAGCAGACCCCAGTCCGTCAGTCACCATGTTAATCAGAGGCATGTCTGGTCGACACGCGTGGACAATGCAGCTCTTCCATCAGCCTCGAGGAGCAAGAGCCAATCAGAAGGTAAGACTCAATCTCAACCACCAATCAGAATGTAGAAGCGCTTTTAGTAGCCAATCAGAAGCAATTAAAATGGCCTGTGAGAGAATGTGGCTTCTCAGAATCAGTATTTGCAAAAAAGGCCTAATGTTGCCTAATTTGATGATGCTGAGTTCAAATTTTATTTTATTTTTTTCACAAAATAAGAATGAAGATTTATCAAAATACAAACCAAAAATTATTCAGACACCAGATATCTTTTTTTATATTTTTTTTACTAGTGGGTGCAGGTCACTATAGTTTATGTATGTAAGTGAGGATAGCAAAATAAAGTAAACTCTGATATATTATACCTAAAAATTCTTCATACAGTAGACTACCAGTAAAATTTATACAAAGTTGGGACCAAAAATTATTGAGACACTTTGACCTGACCACATCCGACGGCGCTGAGACACCACGTACACACACACACACACTCGCACACACTCACACTCGCGCGCGCACACAGTCGCACACACACACTCACTCGCACACACACACACACACTCATATTTTATTACAATTTTCTAAACTATAGCGAATAAACTGCGATAATGTGTGAAACGTTGAAGGTGTCTGAATACATTTTGGTTTGACTGTAACAAAGCAGTCAGCTGTCAAAAGTTTTGGTTTTAAAGACAAAATAAAGTATTTAAAATGCATCATTTAACTTGGAAAAATATGTTCAAATTCTCTAGTTTAATGCCAAAAAAAACTGTACATGAACACAAGTTTAGTAATAAATAAGCTTTTTCATAAAATCTGTAATTTTCTGTGGCTGTAAAACACCAACAGATGAAGCAGAAAACATCAGGCTCGTGTTTGTGTTTTCTTCTGTCACTGGCTGTAATTCTAATCTTGAAATCATAAGCATAAAATAATGTCATACATGTGAAAATGGTGCTACAAAAATGCTACAAAATGCATCATATTTAATGAGAAAGTGTGACATGCTCAAGAGCAAAACACAGTATTTTTGGGAATCAGCATCCAAAACTAGTATCCAATTAGTGTGATGAGCATAGTTATGATTATACTTCGTCTCTTTATGTCCCGCAGCAAGTGTTTGTTCCTGAAAGCCGACCAGATCCCAAAAACGATGTAGGGATTCGGTTTAACGTCAAGCACAGGCCGTTCCCAGAAGAAGTGGATAAGATTCCGTTCGTGAAAGCCGACCTGAGCATCCCGGATCTCCATGACATTGTAGATAAAGAGGTAAAAGGCCTCAGAGCATTGTGTTAGCTTTAGTATTACACACTTCTATGTGGATGTTATCTCAGTTTAATATCACGGTGATTGATGAAGCTTTTATCATGGTATGCAAAATGAAGTGCTGCCCTCTTAATAACAAGTTTAGTAACTTTCGTTTCTTATATAAGCGGCATTTATATACTTTAAAACAATGAAACAGCACACAATAAAATTTATAAAGTAAACAACGGTTTCAAACAGATTAAAGTGCAAATAAATGATGATAAATACATTTTCAAACATTACAAAGATACTTTTAATGGCATGTTTTAGTCCAGATTAAAATGTAAATATGTATCAAGTAAACAAATGTTCCTAACAGATTAAAGTGTAAAATAACACAAATATATGTAATTTCAAGTCATGTAATAGCTTGTTTGTAATCCCGTGATTAAACAGAAAATCACGACATATGTTGGACGTGATCCTAATGTTATGAAGAGGAGCGATTTTTCAAATAAATTGAAATACGTTCCTGCCATCGAGGCGGTGGATATAGGCTAAGCGACTAACTCTGACTGCAAACAAGCTATTAAGTGAATCCTGCATTTATATGAAGCATGCGGGATGTATGTCAATCCTGAAACTGTGCTGCTTGTACAGGGTATGAACAAAACTTTTATTCAAATTCGGAAGAATTTCCGAGGTCCACAAAATCCTGTGGGAAACACTGCACTGATGTAAACCAATTTTTGAAAATTAATAGCCTATCAAGCCTTTAAGTATAAAAAAAGTGACAGTATAATAATAACACGATTGCCTTGTTAGAATTGACTTTGTGTCATATTTGATGATGTTCGCATAATTGATTCAGTCATTTTCCTGTTTATTACTGTGAAGCTGCTTTGAAAACACACACACACACACACACACGCACACACACACAGACACACACACACACACACTCGCACACACACTCGCACACACATGCACACACACTCGCGCACACACACACACACACACTCGCATACACATACACACACTCGCACACTCACACTCGCACACACACACACAGACACACACACAGGTGAATTTGTTCTGACACAGTTTAACTCTGAGTTCTTGTCATATTTTATTACAATTTTCTAAACTATAGCGAATAAACTGCGATAATGTGTGAAACGTTGAAGGTGTCTGAATACATTTTGGTTTGACTGTAACAAAGCAGTCAGCTGTCAAAAGTTTTGGTTTTAAAGACAAAATAAAGTATTTAAAATGCATCATTTAACTTGGAAAAATATGTTCAAATTCTCTAGTTTAATGCCAAAAAAAACTGTACATGAACACAAGTTTAGTAATAAATAAGCTTTTTCATAAAATCTGTAATTTTCTGTGGCTGTAAAACACCAACAGATGAAGCAGAAAACATCAGGCTCGTGTTTGTGTTTTCTTCTGTCACTGGCTGTAATTCTAATCTTGAAATCATAAGCATAAAATAATGTCATACATGTGAAAATGGTGCTACAAAAATGCTACAAAATGCATCATATTTAATGAGAAAGTGTGACATGCTCAAGAGCAAAACACAGTATTTTTGGGAATCAGCATCCAAAACTAGTATCCAATTAGTGTGATGAGCGGAGTTATGATTATACTTCGTCTCTTTATGTCCCGCAGCAAGTGTTTGTTCCTGAAAGCCGACCAGATCCCAAAAACGATGTAGGGATTCGGTTTAACGTCAAGCACAGGCCGTTCCCAGAAGAAGTGGATAAGATTCCGTTCGTGAAAGCCGACCTGAGCATCCCGGATCTCCATGACATTGTAGATAAAGAGGTAAAAGGCCTCAGAGCATTGTGTTAGCTTTAGTATTACACACTTCTATGTGGATGTTATCTCAGTTTAATATCACGGTGATTGATGAAGCTTTTATCATGGTATGCAAAATGAAGTGCTGCCCTCTTAATAACAAGTTTAGTAACTTTCGTTTCTTATATAAGCGGCATTTATATACTTTAAAACAATGAAACAGCACACAATAAAATTTATAAAGTAAACAACGGTTTCAAACAGATTAAAGTGCAAATAAATGATGATAAATACATTTTCAAACATTACAAAGATACTTTTAATGGCATGTTTTAGTCCAGATTAAAATGTAAATATGTATCAAGTAAACAAATGTTCCTAACAGATTAAAGTGTAAAATAACACAAATATATGTAATTTCAAGTCATGTAATAGCTTGTTTGTAATCCCGTGATTAAACAGAAAATCACGACATATGTTGGACGTGATCCTAATGTTATGAAGAGGAGCGATTTTTCAACTAAATTGAAATACGTTCCTGCCATCGAGGCGGTGGATATAGGCTAAGCGACTAACTCTGACTGCAAACAAGCTATTAAGTGAATCCAGCATTTATAAGCATTTAAAAGCATTTATATGAGGCATGCGGGATGTATGTCAATCCTGAAACTGTGCTGCTTGTACAGGGTATGAACAAAACTTTTATTCAAATTCGGAAGAATTTCCGAGGTCCACAAAATCCTGTGGGAAACACTGCACTGATGTAAACCAATTTTTGAAAATTAATAGCCTATCAAGCCTTTAAGTATAAAAAAAGTGACAGTATAATAATAACACGATTGCCTTGTTAGAATTGACTTTGTGTCATATTTGATGATGTTCGCATAATTGATTCAGTCATTTTCCTGTTTATTACTGTGAAGCTGCTTTGAAACAGTCAGTGTTACATAAGCATTATAGAAATCAATGTGACGTGATTGACTTAAATGAACACCAGAGCAAATACAAAAATCTGAATGGCTGTTTAAAACATTTAAATATCGATTGACTTCCTTTCTTCTCCATGATAAGCGGTTACGAGTAACGACTGCATAGAAAGAAGCGTTCAAAAAATCTGTGCACCTCATGATTCATCTCGCTGCTCGTGAGCCGTGATGGGAAAGCAGATCGATTACGAGACGAAACTGGAGCATTGTACGGAGGACTTATGGAGGAACAAACCCTTCCCAGACCCGCTGACAGACTGTAAACCGCCAGCTCCCGCTCAAGAGTTCCAGACGGCCCGCCTCTTCCTCTCGCACTTCGGCTTCCTGTCACTAGAGGCGCTCAAGGTACGAGAACGGACCGTCACATGTTTGCTTTGAATGTCTCTCTAAGGGTGCTTTCACACCTGGCCTGTTGTTTCGGAACCTGGCGCGTTACCCCCCTTAGCTCGGTTCGTTTGGGCATATGTGAACACGGCAATCGCACTCGGATCCGCACCAAAACAATCGGTCCGAGATCGCCTGAACGAGGTGGTCTCGGCTCGATTGAAAACGAACTCTGGATCTCTGCAATCCGATCTAACGGACCAACGAACCAGGCTATATCACAAT